ATTCCTAAAGTTAATAAATTAAGTTGTATGTTCTAATGATTTTTTTATAGAAGATCATTATTAATCATGCATTTCTATTCTATAATAAAATTAAATCAAAATTTCCGAATTCAGAATTATTAGAAACGAAAAGGCAACTCATTTATTTAATTATTTTAAAATTATTTTTGTAGATAAGAATAAATTATATTTTTCTTTTAATTACATTATTATGATATTTTATTTCTTTATCAAAATTTTTCTGTTAGTATTAACAGTTTATTTATTAGACTTAAAAAAATAAATGATATCCCTTCTTTAATTAAAATGCTCATCGTTTGTAATTATTCATTAATAGTTAATTACTGGGTTTATAATGTATTAATTTTATGATTGATTGTCAATAATATTAATATGTAAGAACATATAACTTTAACTATTGATTAACTTACTAATCTTCTTTCAAATAGTGAACAAACTTTAAATTGGAATAGTATAAATTCTCTCTCAGATAAAAGTTAAACTCGTTTTAGATAAAATGTGCCAAAAATTGTCTCTTTTGTTGACATTGAAGAATTTCAAGAAACTTCTATATCAAGTGGACTTTAAAATTCTAATAATCAATCAATTATAGATAAAATTCAAGAGTTAGAGGAGGAAAATAAACAACTAAAAGAAAGCTTAAAATTTTATGAAAAAAAAGAATATAATTGGAAAAATTAAATGAATGACTACTAGTTAGAGCATATACAATTAAAGCGATAAAACTAATTACTTTAAGACAGATTAAATTCTATAATATAATCAAAAGAATAGTTAAGCAAATTTAAAAAATAAACCGAATCTTAAAGATGTAATTTAGCATCGCCGTTCTTTCGTCAAAAACCAGACTAAATTAAAATTCCAATTAATCCTAATTTATAAGTGAGAAAACATACAGCTCCAAGTGGTCATAATAATTCATCACCTCATAGAATGTTTCATGAGAAAAAGATAGACAAATTAATATGAAGACTTTTTATGATTTAAATTTAATTTATCATGACACTATTTAATAAATAATTATTTTTTATTTAGAGAAAATATTTTCAGCAATATCTAAAAAATATTTAAATAGAAAATAATCTCATTTTTTGATTAAATAGTTTCATGATAATTTATATATAACAATTTCTTAGATGTAATGAAAGAGTTTTAAAATAAAATTATTTATTTATTTGATTCTCATTTATTATTTTTTATTATTATATCAACACAACTTTAATTTTTAACTTAATGGGTTCTACAATTTTATGTCCTTATCATCAGAAACCAATAACTTAATTAAACTTATAAAAGAATTAAGAAAAAAGAATTTTTTGCAATGATTGTGATACTGAAAATTAAACTCTTACAAATTTTGAAGAAGCTATGAAATTATGGTAAAGTCTTGAAAGTAAAACGATTTAAAAATTTTTAAACTTTAAAAATTCAAAAGTTCCTCAATTAGATCATTTGTTAAAATAATTTCAACAATATCGAGAATAAGCATTGAAATATATGAATTCTTTAATTGAAACAACAGAAGATTATAAACATTAATTCATAAAGGCTATAGAAAGAGAAATTAATTATGTAAAATAATTAAGAGAAGAAATGGATTTAAGAAAACTAAAAGAAATCTCTTAGATATTAAGTGAGAAATTGATTGAAGAAGATAATGATAACAATCATGTTGGTAATTTAAATTTAGAAAGGATTTTGACTAAAGAGAAGGAATTATTATAAGAAATAAAAAAAAATAGTTTAACGATACATGTCGAAATCAAGAAGATAGTATAATAAAATCATTAAGAAGTTAAAATAAGGCCAATCAATTTTGAATAAATTAACAGTATTAAATAGTAATTAGATTGTTATGCATTGGCAATTAACAAACCAGGAAATATTGTAGTTTCTGGAAGTGGAAAAGATATAATAATTTGGAAATTTGATTAAGATTAATTGACTTAATTATAAACACTAACAGGACATAATTACAATGTGAATTGTCTCACATTTAGTTAAAATTTATAACTTTTTGTTTCAGGTGCATGTGATTCTTAAATAATGATATGGAAGGAATAATCAAAGAATAATTGGAAATGTGATTAGATTTTAAATGATCACACAAATAGTATTTGTTGTCTAATTATAAATTAAACTGATGATTTCATATACTCTTGTAGTTTGGATAATTCAATTAAAGTTTGGGTGAAAAATATTGATAATAAATTTGAATTATATCAATCTTTGATTGGTCATTCAGGTTCAGTCTATTGTATTTCATTAAATCCAAAAGAGACTTAGTTGATATCTTCTAGTAGAGATAAATCTATAATAGTTTGGGATTTAGGAGAAGATAAATTATGGAAGAAATTATAAATAATATAAAATGATGATTATGGTTATAGGATAATTTTTGTATCTAATGTTGCATTCTTTTGGTAGAGATATGGTAATGGAGTAGCTTAAGTTTATTTGTTTGATAAGACTTTGTTAAATTATAAGTTATTAAAAAAAATTAATATGAAGGAATAATAAGCAGATGGTTATTATTTATGTCCATCAATATTCCACAAGAAATAACATATCATATTAAGTAAACACGCAAAGAATCTGTATATAGTAAGAAAGCTTCAAAATAATAAATTTAGCTTATTATAAACTATTGAATTTCCAAGTAGTTCATTATTTGCAACGATTTCAATAAATGCAGATTATTTAATTGTTTGGAATGATAAAACAAAAGATATTTAAATTTGGAAGAACAAATGAAACATATTTAAAAAATATAATATCAAATTCACTTTGAATTTATTTATTTTCAAAATTAAATTCTTAATCTTATTCTTAATCAATTCCTTTTCCATGAGCAATTCCAAATTAATCTGTGATTCCTTTTTTATTTTATCTATATATACCAATCGAATGATAGAAGTTATTATAAACTATTTACTAAAAATATCGTCATTTGAAAATAGAACTCCACCATTCAAAAATTAATTTCAAGACCACAAAAATCCTAAGAAAAGGAACCAATTTGTTTTTTAATTTATCCACAACTATTTTATAATTATCTATTCTATTGAACTCTTTAGGAAACTTTATTTTTTTTGGCTAAAGTCTTCTAAATTTATTCCTTAAATTATTTTGAAAACTCTGAAATCATCAATTGTTTATTATATTCAATCCACTCTTTTAGATAATTTAATAATAATTCATTTCTTTTATTTATTTTACTTACTTAATTCTAAAAGTATTTTATATTTTTAAAGTCCAATATGATACTTCTCCATAAAAATTTTAAATATAAATTTTTTTACTCTAATGAGCTTTTGGATCATTTGTACAAGTGCCTATTAGTATAAAAAAAAAGTTATAGATAATATATTAAAATATATCTAATAATATATATATATATTAATTAATAATGTCTGAAAGAACATTAGATTTTGTGGATCAAAGAAATTCAGTTAGAAAACTTGTCACATGGCCTTGGAATTTTGTATTTGGATTACAAAGCTTCTAAACAGTTTAACATATTTACAACTTTACTGCCAGGACAATATTTGCAGCATCAAGTCTTATCCCATTTTTAAGTATATAAGTATGAATATATATCATAGCAACATACAACACGCATCAATTTGCTTATGCAGAAAATTCAGTTAGATTAACTAGATATAGAAATTATCATGATGATATTATCTGATACATTTGCATATACATTCAAAAAAGAATCATTATTTACAATATATATTTAACATAATCATTTCAAATAAAATCTGTATTTTAATTCATCAATCAGCAAAAGTGTTTACAAAGAACTTGATTGTAGTACTTTTTTAGTTTCTTATGCTCTTCTCATTAAATAAGGAATCATAATCTCAGTTTTTCCAAAAGGTACATATTTATAAATTTTATATCCCTAAATTATGTAATTAATTTTATATACTTCACTAGCTAATTAATAGGTGACATGATCAGATAATCCATACAATTAAGCAAATAATACATCTAAAATAATGTTTAAATAATAATAAATACCTCCTTGATTAGGAATAGAATGCCTATTCATTACTTCTTTAACAAATTCTACTGTTTATTCATTATGACTAGCCACAAAAACTTTAGTAGGTGATTTTCGAATGTTTAAAATAAGTTTTTCTAAGTTTCTTTAAATCATTGCAGTAGTAGCTTCATATCCATCATTAATTGGATTTTCTTTATTTTATTCTTTAGCCAACTTAGTTTCTTCAACCATATAAGCTCCTCTAACCATTTTAATACCAATATTCAATTTGAACATTTCAGCTTTAGCTATTTCATAATCCACTCTATTTTTAGTTTATCTTAGATAACTCTAGAAAGTATTAAAAACTAGAGTTTAATTTTAATTATAATATGATTCCATTTATTCAGAGAAACTATCTATAGCCCATTATAAATAAGTTTATTCAGCATCTACCATAACACAAATTTGATTTTATAAAGCCGGATCCATGAAATATTTAATTCTTTCTATAAACTATTCAAATAAAAATAGTTGTTTATCATTTAGATTATTAAAATATTTAATTGCTGGATTTTTATTTAGTTCAGTTTCAAACATAAAAATAGGTTGAACTCTATATCTCCATGTTATTTCATCAATTTGACTTTCATTTTTATTGAATTTTAAAACATCTTTAATAAATTATTTTTATTCGTTTTCATTTAAATTAATTCCTTACTCTTAAAGATAGTTGAATACCTAAATAAAATTAATATAAAGAACTTATTGAATATTAATGGTTTATTTGCCCTAACTAATTTTATAGAATAATTCAAAAATATTCAACCTTGCTTTATTGATTTACTTCAGTAAGTTCATGTCAATTAAGCTAGAAACTTTAATTGCAATCATATTCTTCTTTTCTGGTTTCTTTGCACATTCTAAAACTGTTTATCTAAATACAGAACTATTCTCATCATAAAATTTTTCACAATCATCTATCCCCTCTACTGCTTCTGAACAGTAATCAATAATATAGGAAATTTCTTAAAAGATTATAATATATTATTACTATTATTTGATGAAGACAGATATCTTTCTACACTTTCAATGTTTTCTCCTGCTGTGAATACTTTTCCAATCGTCTGATTAATGAGAAAATTAGACAATCTTGTTCCACAAATAGCATAAAGTAAATCAAACAGTTTTGGACCTTAATCTACAACCCAATCATATTTTAATATGTGATTAATCAATAAATTATTTAAAATTGAAGGTATAGTTTTATCTTTGTGAATTCTTAAACTCTAATAATATTGTAATTAAGAAGAACTCTAATCATATTATTTAATTATTACATATCTTGTTTAATTAGCTACAGCAAAATTATAGATTACTCTGCTTGATCTTGCTAATTTTTAGCATGATGGTATCATTTTTATAAATACTAATTAATTTAATATATGAAAAACACGATGTCTTCAATAATATTTAAACACAACTTATTACGCACTAATTAAATGATTTATTATCAAAATAATCATATTTATTTCTTATTTATTTCTTTCCTTATATTCGAAAAGAAACTTCTAACTACATATTCTCTATTTTTATATATATTTATATTTTTTCAAATTAATTCTTAAACATGGATGTCTTTAAAATTCTCAAAACTTAGGGAACTAATGTAGACATTTTAAATTTAGAATCTAAGTATTCATAACATTTATCTATTAAGATAAATCTCAAATTTAGAAGAACTCCTCCCATAATTAGCAAATTTTAGCAATTTAAAACAAGTACTTAATTAATTATAAAAATTAAGCTTAATTTAAATGGAAATCGTTTAACTTCATTACCAGATGATTTAGGATTATTAGATACTGTTGAAGTATTGTGTTTGACAAATAACATCTTTACTGAAGTACAATTATATAATCTTAAATCATATTTAGATAGGATAAGTTGTTGAAGCATTATAAACCATGCCTAATCTAATTCAACTTGAAATTAGTCTATCTTCCAAAGAAGAAGAATAATTTATTATTGAATCTCTTCCAAATCTATAAATTTTGAATTCTTAAAAAATAAACTAAGATTAACAACAAATTGATGAAAGTTCAGAATAATAAACTATACAATAATCAGAGATATCTATGAGTGCTCAGTAAGAAATTACACTTTAATAATATGATTTAGAATAGATGGCAGTAATTTATTATTCATTTTTTAGATTCTATATGATAATATAAGGGAATACAAAAAAGATGACCAAGAAGATAAACTTTTTGATTAATAAATAAGAACAATTATGTTAGATTTATAATCTAAAGTTAAGTAAAATAACCCAGATCATTTAACAAATTTATATATCTTAACAGTAAAAATATAAATTTAATAATTTAGGCTAAATATAATTTATATGAAATTTGCTTTAAGTCTATTCTCAAACATTTCAAATAAAATAATAAATAATTAGATTTTATCTTTACAAAAATTCATGATATACATTTGTCAATTTTTAATGATTTAAGCAATGTAGTATAGAATGTCAAATCAACTTCTAAAAATACTTCATAATTATAATTAAATTAAAAATAATTGGATTTATCATAATAATAACCTGAAAAAGGAGTTATAAATAGACTTCGATAAGAATTAGTAGAACTTTAATAAATAAATAATGAATTAGAAAAAGAAAATAAAAGATATCTAGATTTATTGATAAAACATTCTCAAGGAGAAAAAGAGTCTAAGATTAATGATGAAAATAATTAAAAATAAACTGATTCTTATTAGACATAACATTACACTAAAAATTTGTCATCATAAAATATTTAATAAAACAATAATCAAATATTTTAATCAAAATAATCATAGTATTCGAATTCTATGCCACAACAAGTAAATATAAGGAATTTAACACTAAAATAACTAAAAGATGTTGTAAATGAAATTTATGAAAGCAAACAAAAATTTGATTAAAAATGTTCTGATTCTAAATTGCCAAGAGAAACCATGGAATAACATATGTATACATTTTTAAATCAAAAATATGGACTTAAAAATCTCATAATTGAATGGGCAATTTCAATAATAAATTCTGTAAAAAAATATGCTACTGAAGATAATGATATTGCTGTGTTTGGAAAGATTTTAAAAAATGAATGTGATGAAGAATTTAGATTTGTCTAAACTCAAGTAAAAAATACAATGTAAGAATTATTAAAAGTAACTATTATTTTTATTTAGATGTATCTAAGAGGTAAACATCCATTGAAACACTAAGCTGAAATTAAAGAAATGCTTAATTAAAGAATTAATGGTTAATTATATGAAGAAGAGGCAGTTGACATTATTAAATATATGTATAATTAAGAAGATTCAGAATTATTACTTGAAAAATTGAAACAATATTATATTGTTCCACAAAAAACAAATGATCGAAGACTTACAAGAGAAGAACAATTAATGATTTTATAGGAAAAGGATAAATATAAATTAGATTATTAGGTTTTTCAAAAAATTATATTGGACTTTTAACTTAAGTCTCATGAAAAGTATTTAAAAAAATTTATTGTTATTTTCAAATAAATGGATACTGATCTTAATGGAATAATTGATGAAGTAAGATTTTTTTATTATTTAGAATGAATTCAGAAATTTAATAGATGTATTAAATTTTGATGCTGGAGATCTTGAGATACAAAAATATTTGAATATTGTTGATCCTTATAGTCATTAATAAATAACATTTTCATAATGTGTTACGCTTTTTTCATCTGAATCTGTTCCTGGATCGAATGGATAAATGTAAATACTCTAAAGAATTTCGGAATAATGAAATTTAATTTTAAATGTTAATATTCGAATTTATTAATTAATTTAAATTAATCCTCAGATAGATTTTAGAAAATTGGCTTTTATGCTTTCAAAGTATCTATAGCTGATAACTATAAAATTGATCTACTATTTCCAAAAATGTGTAGAAAAAGTCAAACATATTTAATAAATAAAATTTAAAAAGATTAATAAATTTATAATTGTTTAATTAAATAGTTAAATATGTGCAAAGTTTCATTTAAGTAAGTTATTTTCAGCAAATCTATGATTCATTCATAATATTTGAGGATTATTCCTTAAAAATATTAATAAATTAAATTAAATAAAATTATATGCATTTAGCCAAAATTAAAAAGTAAAATATATTTAGATAATCAAGATATTATAAAACTAATGCATTACAGAACTTAAAGATTCTATTTTTTTCTATAAAATTAATCTGACTTTAAAGTTTATAATGTTGCTATAGGTTGCAATTATGTATTTGACTGGTAAATTTATTAGTTAAATTAAAATATAAATAAATTGTAATTTACCTTAATTTATTTAAGCATTTTTTTATATTTTATAATAATTATCAACTTTTATATGATTCTTCAAATTCTTTTGTTCAACCATCTTTCTTTTTCTCTAATTATTTCTTTATATTCTCTAATATATCGTTCCTTTTCAGCTATTTCTTTTTGTAATCGTTCTTGCTCATACTATTTTAATCTTCGTTCATTTTCACTAAAATGATTTATATTAATATTTACCTCCTTCTTTAATCATTTTCTTTAAAATAATTATCTTCTTCTTATTTGCAGTATTTGCACCACCAAGAATAATTATGAGAATGCTTATAACATCTTGAACCTTTAGCTTCTTAACATCTTGGAGAAGAACATTCAATAGATGAACCACATCCCATTTTATTTTATTTAAATTATTATCCGAAATATTCTTTTATCACAAAATTTATATACCAAAATATTCATAAATAATAAATATTAATGATGTTAATAAATATAATGCTGTTATTAACAATAAATAAATCCATCAAATAGATTCTTTAAAACATAGAAAAGATTTTTCATAAAAATAACAACATATTACATGTTTTTTTGAAATAGAATATAATTTCAAAAAAAAATTGATATTTTCTCATGAAAAATTTAATAATTTTTAAATCAGAATTTTATTTATTAATATTAACATTACATTTCTGATATAATATATTCTAATTTTGCAAATAAGCTAATTGCTATTATCAAAACACATTTTCCCAGTCGGTTTTTATTTAACAATTTAACAATTTTTAGATTTTTAATTTTTGTTTTGCAAATAATTCAAAAATGTTCATAGTATTTTTATTAGAATAATAATTTTATTATATTTTAATCAATTGATTTATCTGAAGGAAATAATAATTTACTCATTATATCATCTCAATTATAAATGTCTCTATATATGTATTAGAAAAAATAAATAAATACTCCTTCTACTTTTATTAAGTCAGATTGTTAAGAAAGAGATTTATTTAATATTTTTATTATATATGTACTTTGTTTGTTCAATTATTTTAAAAGTAAAATTAATATTTATAAAATATGTTTATATAGTAATAATTCTTTTATATTTGCTAATAAATAAAATATATATACTTATGATTCGTTAATGTGAAATAATAAATAATAATAATATATAATTAAAATTAACTCTATGATTTTTTTAGATTTTATCCCATTAATAATATTTTGTAATTTTATCATAAAAGAAATCTGAACAGGGTGAAGTATGAATATCGTTAAAACCAGAAAAAGCTTTTTAGGTCAAATATCTTGAGATCTATTTATGGTTTTATGAGTGTATTGAATTTTGTAGTTGAAAGAAATAGGAAATGTATATTATTATTATTAAGTATTTTGATTGAATTAATATGAGAAAAAAGATTGTTTAACATTGTGAATTTATAATATGTTGTACAACTTAAATATTACAAGAATAAAAAAATATAATAAATTAATAAATTGATATAATATAAATATCAATCAAAATATTCTGAAGCAACAAAAGCTACTATGGGTTTTTCATATCTTAAACCTATATCTTCTTGAATGATACCAGATAAGATTGGCATTTACAATTTTATAGTTCTATTACCTAAGTCTTTAATGATAGTTTAATTGATAGTATGATTAAAAATCAAGGAGAAGTTAATAAAGGACCAATTTGGAGCTGGTTCAGTTATAGTTAGACAAGTTTAGAATTAAGGTATGAAGAGATCAGAGGAAGTTTATGGTTATTTATTATGAAATTCCTAAAAGTGATCTTAATTTTTACTTAATAGATTCTTTCAGTAAATCTGATATAATCATTTCGAATAGATTCAATTTGATTATAAGCCACTTCCATTGCAAAAAAGAAATATCCTGGATTAAACAATTTCACATAATAAATTCTACGATTCATTTTAGGAAAAGTGGAAACATAAATGAAATTCTATTCATTTGGCACTTCTATATATTTTGATCCTTCTATTATAATTTCTCTAGATCTAAGCCATTTCAATTAAATATTTGTGTATTATGTCATCACTTAAGTATGTTTTGGATCAATTGTAGGAACTGATGTTAATTTATCAAAGTATTAATGAACTTCTTATTCATTTTTAAATTCTGTAAATTATGTCATAGGTAGTGAAGCTAAATTATTCTTTACNTATACTTATGATTCGTTAATGTGAAATAATAAATAATAATAATATATAATTAAAATTAACTCTATGATTTTTTTAGATTTTATCCCATTAATAATATTTTGTAATTTTATCATAAAAGAAATCTGAACAGGGTGAAGTATGAATATCGTTAAAACCAGAAAAAGCTTTTTAGGTCAAATATCTTGAGATCTATTTATGGTTTTATGAGTGTATTGAATTTTGTAGTTGAAAGAAATAGGAAATGTATATTATTATTATTAAGTATTTTGATTGAATTAATATGAGAAAAAAGATTGTTTAACATTGTGAATTTATAATATGTTGTACAACTTAAATATTACAAGAATAAAAAAATATAATAAATTAATAAATTGATATAATATAAATATCAATCAAAATATTCTGAAGCAACAAAAGCTACTATGGGTTTTTCATATCTTAAACCTATATCTTCTTGAATGATACCAGATAAGATTGGCATTTACAATTTTATAGTTCTATTACCTAAGTCTTTAATGATAGTTTAATTGATAGTATGATTAAAAATCAAGGAGAAGTTAATAAAGGACCAATTTGGAGCTGGTTCAGTTATAGTTAGACAAGTTTAGAATTAAGGTATGAAGAGATCAGAGGAAGTTTATGGTTATTTATTATGAAATTCCTAAAAGTGATCTTAATTTTTACTTAATAGATTCTTTCAGTAAATCTGATATAATCATTTCGAATAGATTCAATTTGATTATAAGCCACTTCCATTGCAAAAAAGAAATATCCTGGATTAAACAATTTCACATAATAAATTCTACGATTCATTTTAGGAAAAGTGGAAACATAAATGAAATTCTATTCATTTGGCACTTCTATATATTTTGATCCTTCTATTATAATTTCTCTAGATCTAAGCCATTTCAATTAAATATTTGTGTATTATGTCATCACTTAAGTATGTTTTGGATCAATTGTAGGAACTGATGTTAATTTATCAAAGTATTAATGAACTTCTTATTCATTTTTAAATTCTGTAAATTATGTCATAGGTAGTGAAGCTAAATTATTCTTTACCTTTTCAATTATATATTAATTTTATTCATATGGCTTATGCAAATTGTAATGAAAACAATCTTCAGCAAACTAAAATATGGTTTTTGACTTTAGATAACTTAAAGTATTGGTTTCTTCATTTCTTGCTTCAGATTATTAGAGTGAGTAATATGAATTAAATTTTATAGATATATTCTGTTCTACTTTAGGTTAACTATTTTATTGATTTAAATAATGGTTTACTAATAATTTGATCGTTTTATTGTAAATATTGTCCTCCTTATTTGAGTTTTATAATCATTTTCAACTATTCTCCACTTAAATCCAACTTTCTTTATTGACTCTGAGATGTATTTATTAGCTATAATCTATCCATTATTTTATGGGTAATGGTTCTATATAATTATATTAATATCTAACTTATGCAATTAATATTTCTGATGCAGATGAATCTTATCTAAAAACCAAATCAACTATTTGAGTTAAAAATATATCAAAGAAAATTTCTGATTTGCATGATATCATTTCTATAATCCAAACTCTTTCATGCACCTTATTTTAATCTACATATAATAAACTATATCCTTAAACCAAGTTTTCTACAAAAAATTACAATACACAAGACTCTTACTAATAATACATAATATTAATTAGTTTTTGAGAATCCTTTTCAAAAGAATCTTGTGTGATCTAACATGAAAATCTAACTATTTCTTTAATTCTTAATTCTATATCTTTTGGATTTATTTGCATTACCAATATTTCGAAGTCTTTTTCCATCTTTTTGGCTATTTAAATAGGTTCACATTTTTTTATAATATCCTCTTTTTATACTAACATTGAAAATATTGGTTTATTTATTTATTCTAAATCTGATTAGACAATTCCTATTATAAATGGAAAATTGATTAATTTCTCTCCTTCAAAACTGTAATTAACACTATTCATTCCTATTCTAGGAAAATTGATTTCAAAATAAGTTTCGCTAGTAAAATAAGATTATAATTATGAATTTGTTAAATTTTATCTATTACCAACACAACTAAAAAAAGGAAGCCATATATTATATTATGATAGACTTTTTTAATCATATTTCTCAAAAAGTTCATTAACAATAGTCTATAGATTTAATGTAATTTCATCATTTTTCAATTCAAAAATATATCTAATTTTGATTATATTGATATTTTACATTTTAATAAAAGGATCTGTAGTAGATATTAGATACAATTTTCTTAGGTTATTTACTTCATTGCTTGATAATTATAATAATGATGCATCTTCTAAACTTGCTTTGGATCTCTTTTTAATAAGAAAAAATATACTGATGAAAATCTAATGTAAGGTTAATGAGTTTATTTGTGAATTTCAGATGAAAATACAAGAAATTGTAAATTCATATTGAAATATTATAAATACACAGGAGTTCGTATTGGAGATTTAAATCTAGGACATACCTTTGTAATATCCTTAACATTTTAGATTAGAGAAAACGAGGATCCATAAATTTTCTATTTCTAAAATTGTGTTATTTTTGATATCTTACTACTAAATTTTTAGCTATTTCTTAAGTTTTTGTGTCAAATATTATTAAATTAGACTTTCCCAAATTAGCACAGAATTAAGCTTCCATTGTTTCTTCATCACTATTTAATACTAATTTTTTGATTCGTGATAATACTCTAGCATATATAAAACAAATAGGATTATAAATTATTGATATACTTTATTATTCTTATTCTGTCCTTTTAATATCAAGAACATATTAAGTATAATTAACCTTCAGATTTTCTATTGATATGATTTTACAAAATTAAAAATTCAATATTTTAAGATTATACTCAAAACATTCTAATAATGTTAAATTAATGCCCAATTATTCAAAAGAATCTCCATTATTTATAAGCATTCTTATAAAATGATGTATAATTTTATCAAATATTTATTCCTTACAAACTATTAAATGAATAACCCATTTTCTAATATCACAATCCTATTCAATACTTGCCAATAAAATTCCTAAATCAGATATTTATAACATTATTGCTTCTAATCCATAACTTAATGTTTCCTATATATAAGTAGAAGGTTGTAAGAAACTTTTATGAAAATCTTCAAAATTAGTTGAAAGCCAAAAACTCAGAATTTAAGGAATATCTTTAATTGGCCAATCTTTAATAATAAATGAAATATCATCCTATTTATAAATGACTTAACTTCTGTATTCTGGAAGAGGTGGCAATTCCATTTAGAATTTATTTATACTTCCTTTTCTAGATGTAATTTATCCACTTTATAATTCCTTTGTACTTAGAAAATTAGTTTTTGTTTAAAGTAAAGTTTTATTTTTATTTTCTGATAATTCTCCTGTTAATTTAACTCTTACATAAGTCTCTAGTTCTTTAATTCTATTCACATATTTTTTATCAAGTTTATGTTTAGTTAAATAATCAAAATATTCTAAATCTCTTTCATAAGCTTAATTAATGACTCCCAAATAAAAAATATCATCCACACTTTCACTCATATGAAAGAATTTCATTAAAACAGGATGCATTTAAAAAAGCAATTTATGATCTTTCTTTATTTTCATAATGTAATTTTCTCCTTAATAAATCCACTAGTAATTATATGCATACTATATGTATAATTTATTCACCCACTTTCTTTAGTACTCTATCAAATTTAAAGTAATTTTCCTAAGATCGTAAAGAAAATTTGAAATAAGGCATACAAATTCTATAATATTCTCACTCTATTAGATTGCTAAAGCTTCTTTTAAACAAATCTCTCTACTAATTGTTAATTGATGCAAAGTCTTGATAATACTTCCATTTAATTTATAGCTTTCAATCTCTTACCTCATTAAATATTCTTAACTAGCAAGATTAGAAGTTAAAATAAAGTAATAATACTTCTAATGAATCTCTGGGATCTTGTTTTCTTCCCAAAGTCTCTAAATCTCAAAAAACATCTCTCTTTATGGAAAATTATTTTTTACTAAATAATTTTGCAATGAATTTACTTTCTATAAGTTCGATATTTTATTTAGGACTGAAACTTCGATTGAATTTTGGACTTAATATTTTGGTATTAAAATTAGATCTACTTGTTGTTGATGCCAGTTATAAACGAAATTATCCTGTACTTTGTGATTTATTAAAAAACATTAATATAATAATTTATTTCAATTCTGTAAGAAATATATGCAAAAGATTGTAAAAAGCAATAAATCTATATCAATTTTTGTTTTTGATTATCAAATGCAATGTTTCTAAAAATATTTATAACTAATCATTCTAAATATCTATTTAATAAAATAAACATCTTTAATCCATATTCTCAAAAATGTATTATTAAATTATATGAATTGCTTACGTAAAAATCTATAAACAAATTATTAATAATTTGCGGTTGCTTTCGAGATAGTTATTATTAATTTAAAATTAATAAAAATTTATTTTGTAGCAATCCTGCCACAAACTCAATTATATACCTAGCATTGTATATTAAAATTTTTTTCAAATTTATTCCAATATCTCTCATAAAAATTAATTATTTCTTTCCATAATTCTTTTTTTTTTTAAATAAAACAATTATGCTTATTGTAAAGTACTAATAATATTACTTAATTTTGTGTGATTTTTTAAAATCAAATTTTAGATTGATATTAATAGCAATCAATTAAAATTATATAAAAAGTTCCAGCTATTAAGTCCTTTAATTTGTATTCATCATAGCTGAATATTTATCAAAATTAAAGGTTCATAGATCAATTATATTAACTATTTTAAAGAAATAGGCAATTATATTTTTTAGATATAAGATTTAATCAATTTTTTTTTTTTTATTTAACTTTTAAAAATTTCTTGTTAAATAACAAAGTATTAATTTTGCTCTTTCATAAAAACAAGATTTCAATTAAATAGAATTAAATAGCGAATAGACTGAATCAATAAGATATTCCTTTCAAATTTTTATAATATATATGTTAAGATTTAAAATAAAACATCGTCCTTATATTTAAAAAAATTAATGAATTATTTTTCAAAAACTAAATAATAATTTTTATTCAAGTTATCTAGGTTAAAAATCAAATTTCCTACAGCGTTTTAAATAATTTTATAAATTATTAGATTTATATTATTTCTAATTTATTTTAGTTTTTCTTATTTTTATAAACTAAACCATAAAATCTAAAGATTGCTTTTATATATTTAGTTGTATTAAATATTCGAATATCTCATAATTATAATAAAATTTTATCAGATTCTAACGATTACCTTTTAACTCTTGAAGTTAAATTATGATTAAACAATTAAATTGATAAAGATAAAAAAGATTTATGATTTACGATTTATTATTTCTTGCCCCTTTAATCTCTTTATTTTGTCTATTCAATTTAAAGTTTTTTTATGAAGATAGCTTTTTTTATAAGACCAAGGTTGCATCAATAAATCAAATATTTAAATAAAAAAAAATAATTTTTTGATTGTTATAAAAAATATTTTTATTTTAATAAAAATTATTGACTATTTAAGGATTTAAATAAAATCGTTAATAAGGTCGATCTTATATTTCTGACTAAATATGAAAGTTATTTAAAATTTTTATTTTGTTATTAAATTATTTTTAATGTATATTATCAGATTTTAAGTAAAAAGAAGATTTTTTTGTTTTTTAGTAAAATAATAATGAATATTGGTAATAAATATTAAAAAATGAATATATTTGTAGATAGTAGGTCTATATAACATAAAATTTAGTTGGTTTGATTAATTTATTGTTATAATAATAATGAAAATTTTTAGTTTAAGTTTTGAGGATCAAGAAATGGAATATGAGTATTAGAAAGAGATTACAAAATTATATAAAAATTATCAAAAAACTTAGAAATGGATTATATTGCCTTTGATTGTTTTTCAAATTTCATTAAAAATAATGAGGGCCGATTGGCTTTTACTAGCTGTGTTATTATTGTGTAGTATTCTATACGTTTTAAACTTAAAATGGGCTTCATCATCAAATAGATATTTCAAAGACTTATTGTTGTTTCTTTCATTAGTGTTGTATAACTTTTTCTTCCCTTATAATTCAATTTTTTAAGAGAAGGAATTGTAACTTTAAACCTATTCTTTAGATGGCTATTTTTAAGCTTTAACAATTTTGGCGTATGAATTAGTTTAAAATAAATAGTTTAATAAATACCCTAAGCTATTCGAAGAAGCAGTTAATCCTTGTAGTAATTTTCACATTCTAAATTACAATATTTAGAAATCCAAATATTTATTTGTGGGAATAATTAGTCTTACATATATTTTAATTATGTGTTTATATTCACTATTGTTATTGTTTTGAGAATTTTAGGAGACAAGTTTTTATTTAGGCAAATATTTAAAAAAATTTGGAAGATAACATCTAAACTTATAATGATATAGAGAGTTTCATTATCAGTTATAATTCCTCAAAAAATAAGTTGATTTTAATGTAGAAGAACAGGTAGCAAAAGATTACAGAAATTATTTAGAATGACTTTATTGAAAAAATAAGAAATATAAAAGTATCTTCATTTGATTCAAAAAGGAGATTTACTTAGTTTACTTCATAGGAAATGTTAGAAAACTAAGCAAACATGACATTAGAGATGTTTTTATTTTATGAATTCACAAATAAGAAGAAAAAAATCATGCATTTAATTCATTAACCTGAACTTAATAATTCTTATTTGCTGAGGGGATTTCTTTAGCAAGAAAGTTACACAATAAAAGTAGTCAAATTTCATTAATAAAAACCCTGTGCTATTGTTTTGTTGATGGAAAATAAGAAAGATAATGTAATTGAGGAACTTAATTTAAGGAATAAAATAACAATGAAGGCATTAGATTATATTGGTGATTTGTTTAGAGAATTAGTAAAACCTAGTTTAATATCATTTTAATGGATTTATAATAATAAATAGAAAAATAAAAATATTGTATTCATTAATAAATTATTAAGAAAAGTAAATAGCAATTTATTAAAATGCTATAATGATTTTTCAAATATTCAAGATTACTTTAGTATAAACAAAGAATTTTAACGTTGTTTAATATAGAAATTTGATATCAAGCAATTTATTGAATCGATATCCTAAAATGTAATAAGATATTTTGGAGATGACAAAGGATTGTTCTTTACGATCGATTGTTAAGTTCAAGATACATATGTGAAATAAGATTAAAAATAACTGAAGCAATTATTTTTAAACTTATTTTTTTTTATTTTAGGAAAGCAAGCAGAAACAAATAATATTCAACCAAATTAAATCCATATCACTTTATAATAAGAAAAAGATGAGTCTAATTAATAGATGTCAATTAAAATAAGAATTGATTACGAAGGACATCATTTAAGTAAAACAGCCATAAATAATTTGCTAATCATAAATCCTTAAACAATTGAAGAGTTGAAGCAAAATAGTAAAAAGGCATTTGATTTATAATTACCAATATCATTGTTGATAATAAGGAAAATAGGACCTCATGATAAATTAACCTTAAAATAGAATAATATGAATAAAAATTTTATAGAGTTTTAAATATTTAATTCTCTGGAAGAGAATTACCATCTATTGCCAGTAATATCATTTAACCCAAAGGATAATATTCTAATAACATAAAGTTTGCCTAAGCACTATTCTGAATACTTTGATCAGATTCCAATTGTGTAATTAAACTCTATTCAGGAATTCTGATTGTATATATTCTAATCAATATATAAAAACGGATTATAAATATATTTATGTTAAAGCATTTGCTAGTGGCATGGCTGCTAGTCAGCGTGTCTTTACAATTTAAGACATCTACAAGAACGTAGATAACACCTTTGGAATCAATTTTATCTATTGATCCCTCTGGATGGACTTGTGAAAGTCCAAATTACAAAGAATAATTGGGAGCACAGCATGACATTGATTAATGGATAGATATAGTCAAACACAAGGATGGATTTGATGGAGATTTGTAGGTTTTGGCTATGGTCAAAGCTTTGGTTGATAGAGTTTTGTTAACAGTCTAACACATTTAAGGAGAGTCATTTATTCAAGTTAAGTAGTTGCATCATTAGATTTCAAAGCATTTCAAATCACTATCTCAAATTGAATCGACATCTTCATGGTATGATATAAACGATATTTTGGGATATTTGGAAGTACTCAATAAAGCAAAAAGTATTCATTATTTTTATATGTATTAGGTGAAGAAGACAAGTTGTAGTTGGCTTAAACTATTGCTACTAAGATTTCAGAGTTGATTTAACAAATAACAGAAATCTAATTATAATTAAATACTATTCCAATTGATATTGATTAACTTTATGATCTAGCTACAAGAGTTAATGAGAAAACATCTTAATGTAAAGATTATTGGGCAGATTAATTGGAAGCTGATGCTAAAGCTGAAGAAGAAGAAAGAAGAAAAGAATAAGAATAAGAAGAAGCCAGATTAAGAGCAGAAGAAGAAGCTAGAGCAGCAGCTGAAGCAGCAGCAGAAGAAGAAAGAAGAAGAGAAGAAGAAGCAAGAGAATTAGAAGAATTAAAAAATAGAGTTGATATCACTCCTGAAGAAGCTGAATTATTAGAATAAGAAGCTGAAAAAGAATTAGAATTAGCAGAAGAATTAGAAAAAGAAGCAGAATAAGAATTAGATGAGGCAAAATAGGCAGAATAAGAAGCTGAGACAGAAGCTGAAAGAGATGCAAGAGAGGCATAAGAAGCAGCTGAAAGAGCAGCAGCATCATAATAAGCTTTGGAGGATGCTTAAAATAGAGAAGAGGAAGCCTGTTTAGATGCAGATGAGGCTTAAAGAAGATTAAAAGAAGCTTAGGAGGCTGCTGAAGAAGCAAAAAAAAGAGCAGAAGAGGCATAAAGATTAGCTGATGAAGCTTAAAAAGCTAAAGAATGTGAACCAGTACCTGAACCAATATCAGAAGAGGAAGAAGAAGAAGAAGAAGAATTTACATGGGAATCAGAAGAAGAAGATGGATGTGGAGATGATGTATTAGAAGATTTAATTGATACATTAATTGATGCAGCAACAGGACCTAGTGCTTATTAACCAAGTTGCGGATATCCTGGATGTTAAGAATAACCTATTATTATTATTGTTGAAGATGATGAAGATGAACCTAAACCTTAACCATAACCAGAACCTTAACCATAACCAGAACCTTAACCTGAACCAGAAGAAGAACCAGTTGAAGAAGAACCAGTTCCAGATGATGAGGTTGTTGAAGAACCAGAGGAAGAAACAGAGGAAGAGGTAGAAGTTGAACCAACACCTGATGATGATAAAATTGTTGAAGAAGAAGAAATTATTTATGAAGAAATTTTTGAAGAAATTTTTGAAGAAATAGATGATGACGATGATTTTGGTAGATTAGAGTTTGATGAGCCATTAGAATAAATTGTTTATACTTTAGATGAAAAAACTGATAGTGTTGTTACTTAAGAAACATCACCATGGGAAAAAGATGTTGAAGATGGACCTGATAGTAAAATTAAAAAATCTGTTGAATATAGTTATGGTTTGTGGACATACTTTAGATATAATGGAAAAGTTAAGATTTCTGAAAAGAAAGAAGTCTTAGCAGTAGGAGGAATCAGTGGAGATGATACAAATAGATTACTTACAACTATTGGAGAAGGATTCTATAATTTCTAAGTATTTGAAGGAGATGTTGTTACTGAATTATAATTAGATTATGGAAAGTATTTAGATGCTGAATGGATATATGTTTATTTCGGATATAAAGAAGGTAAAGCTAATGGTTATATCTATTGGGGTAGAACTTAAGTGATTAAAACTGTTACATTCACTGTTACTTAACCAGCTATTGTTAAAACTATTAGATTTTAATCAGGAATTTGGAGTGGATACAAAGGATTCAATGGAGTCATCACTAATGTTAGAGTTGTCTTGAACAAGAATTCATTTGTAGAGACAGAGGAAGAAATGAAGACACTCATTGAAACTAAATACACTGTACCAACAGATCCAGATTTGGAATATAAAGAAGAATAACACTATGATAAGGTTGAATATGATGGATTAGTCACAGAACCTAAATTCCATTGGGATTTGAATGGATATAGAGAATATTCAGTATCAACTTGGTTTAGATATGTCAGAAGAACTGAAAGAGCTCATCAAGTTATATTTAGATTTACATCAAATGAACCAGATTCAGGAGTTGTTGCTCATGGAGAAAAGACACTTTCTTTATGGTAAACTGAATAAAATGAATACGAATTTTCTACTTATACAGTTGAAGAGAAAGACAAGTTCAGTGATATTGTTGAAACAGTAACTATTGATTAAGAATCACAATAATTATGGACATATGCATACTTTGGATACAATAATGGAGATTTCTAATATTATATTGAATGGCCCGAAAGCAAAGCTGAAAAATAATTTAAAGGATGGCATGTTGTCGCTAAATATTGGGCATTATATTTGGGATAAGGATTAAAGTATTTCTTCCATGGTAAAACAGCATATACAACAATCAGATTTGGAAAAGGAGCATGGGGATAAGCTACTGATTTTGATGATTATAAGATTGGTAAGATTAAATTATGGCCAGGAGTTTAATTAAAGACATATGAAGCTAAATGGATGGATCACAAAACAGAATCTGAATATGATACATTACTTCATGATGAACCAGATTGGGTAACAGATGGTGTTTATGAATATGGTTTCGGTATGTGGACTAAATTCTTCATCACAAATCCTTCTAGAATTTATGAAAAACCTGAACGTATCTTAGTGGGAAGATTAGGATTCACAGATTAAGATGAGGCTGAATTTGCTGTATATATTGGAAAAGGAAACTATGAATTCTGGGCTAGTTCATCAAGGCCTGTAAATTATGGAAAGAATTTGGATGGTTATTGGAATTACATTTATTTCAGTTATTCGAAATTGAAATAAATAGCAGTTGGATATGTTAATTTCAATAAATTGAAGTAAGTATAAAGAACAGTATTTGATCCATTTGATGCTGATCCTGCTAACAATTATGTACGTTTTTATGTTGGATAATGGAAATCATCAAGTGTTTATGGATTTAATGGAAGAATTGCTCATGCAGTTGTCAGATTGGGAAGAGGATCATTTATAAATGAAATAGATGAATATGAAACATGGATTGAATAATACAAGGTTCCAGTTGATGAAGAATTAGGAACTAAAGATTATGAAATTTAAGGTGCTGATAATAAAGATACTGAAAGTTATGAGACCTTTGTTTATGAAGATGGAGCTATCGAGACACAATAATATTCAGTTTATGGATGGTTCAAATATTATGGTAGTTTGGATGATACTGAAGCTCAAACAGTTATTAGATTAACCAATAATGAAGCAGCATTTTTGAAAGACGCTGATTTGTTAGGAGATAGAACCTTATCAGTAATTCAAAAAGGTGGAGATATGGAATTCGGAACATATGATATAGGTTTTATTGATACCGATTTCACAGTGAATAGAAATACAAATATAGCATTAGGAGAATACAGAGGAATTTGGATGTATATTTGGGTAGGATATTCAAGATAAGATGAATATGCAGGTTGGTTCTTAGGTTTCCCAGATATTAGTAAAGGAGGTTTATTAAAGAAGGTATTGCATTTTTCACCAAAATATTTGGCTGTATATTTCGGAAAGGATGGAATAAATAAGAACTTTGTTGGTAAATCGAGACATGTTCATGCTTGTTATGGTAGTACATAATGTTGGCATTATGTTGACAAGGTAGAAGTAGAAGTTGATCTTCCAGCATGGATTCCATATAAATTAAATAATTATTTTGAATTCTTTGTATAAAATGATGATGATGCTTTGATTGTTGCAAAAGATGATTAACCAGCATTAGATGTTGAATTTACAGAGAGCAATTTCCCAGGATCTGATATTGAAGCAATATATGAATATGGTATAGGTTTATGGACAAGATGGTTGATGAATTATCCATTCATATTATTAGAGAAAGCTGAATCTCATTCAATATTTAGATTCACTACAAATGCTTAATATGAAGATGCTGAAAAGAATGGAGACAGAACTGTATCAGCCTTTGTAGGAAGAGGAGAATATAAGTTTAGTACTTATGATGCTGTTCTTGATAAGAATGAAATCACAACAGGAACTAAATTTGATAAAGAATTGGAAGGATATTGGAATTTCGTTTATTTCTGCTATAAGAGAATGCCAACAGGACCAAAGGGTATTGGATATGTTTATCTTACTCATCAAAATGTTGTTAAGAGAGTTGAAATTGATAGTGCTAAACATTGGTTATTAAGAGATTATGCTCGACTTGTTATAGGAAAGAAAGAGTTTGGACATTCAGCATTCTAAGGTAAATTATTTGATCCAAGAGCATTTTTGGGTAAAAGCAGTTACATTGATTCAAGTGAAGATTTGTTGAATGTTGTTGTTCCTAAATTCAGACCTTATCCACCATATAAAGATAAATAAGATAATGAACCTGTGTAAGTTGAAAAAGCAAAGATGACTCAAAGAGTTTTCAAATCTTATGAAGAAAAGTACAGTGGTGTTTTTGAATACAGTGTTTATGGATTTGCCAAAGGTAATAAATTAAAGAATGTTACTGAATGGACCTCACTTGTAAGAGTCACTCAAAATACACCAGATATTTAAGCTGATAATGATAATGCAGGAGATAGAACTCTTTCCATCTTTATTGATAAAGGTGTCTGGTATTTCAGTACTTATGATTATGGAGATATTGAAACTATAGATGATGATTAAGGATCAAGTATATTTTATTATTTATATTTTAGTTGACAAGAAATTTGATATTGGTAAATATTGGGGCAAATGGACTTATTTCTACTTTGGATATTCCTTCCATCTTAAATAAGCTTATGCATATATTCGTTAAATCGATTAAACATCTAATTCCTACCTTTTTGAAGATGTCTATCATTTTGTACCCAACTATTTGAGTGTATTCTTCTCTGAAGATGGTTATGGCAAATAATTTGATGTATTCATATTTCTTATATCCTTAGGGTGAAGCCTTTGATTGGTATTTGGGAATAGGCGATGGTGCATTCACCACAACTCCAGAACCTAGAGAATGGCCTGTTGATCCTGCTCCTCCTCCAGATAGAATACTGTCTGCTCTACTTGCTAACCAAGGATTTAACTCAGGTAGAATTATCAAAGGTGGAGCAACATTCTTACAAGTTGAAGGATCTGTCAATTTAATTTAAGAGAATGAAGAATGATATAATAAATCATAAATTATTATTATTATTTCATAATAAATTCATAATTACTCATCATTATCTTCTTTCATTAATTGTATTGCTTGAGTCTTAAGTGCATATATAATTTAATAGAAATAAATTTAAAATAAATAAACACATTTATTTAATTTTTGCATCTATTTATATCAAAAAATAGGTTTTCTTCATTCAAGCATTTAAAACTTATGATTCACAATTAACCGTACTTCAATTTCATTTTGATTTTAATGCGAATTAGAAAAAAAAAGTATTTCATTACTTCTTGAAAATTCTTATTCTTACTCATATTCTAAACTCAAACGATTGGTATCATCTTCAACTCAATTTAGTAGTGTATTTGTATACCGCTACTAAATTTGGACTAGAATTGCAAATTTTAACCATAATGTTACTCTAAACATACTTCGACTGAATTTNTTGTTCCTAAATTCAGACCTTATCCACCATATAAAGATAAATAAGATAATGAACCTGTGTAAGTTGAAAAAGCAAAGATGACTCAAAGAGTTTTCAAATCTTATGAAGAAAAGTACAGTGGTGTTTTTGAATACAGTGTTTATGGATTTGCCAAAGGTAATAAATTAAAGAATGTTACTGAATGGACCTCACTTGTAAGAGTCACTCAAAATACACCAGATATTTAAGCTGATAATGATAATGCAGGAGATAGAACTCTTTCCATCTTTATTGATAAAGGTGTCTGGTATTTCAGTACTTATGATTATGGAGATATTGAAACTATAGATGATGATTAAGGATCAAGTATATTTTATTATTTATATTTTAGTTGACAAGAAATTTGATATTGGTAAATATTGGGGCAAATGGACTTATTTCTACTTTGGATATTCCTTCCATCTTAAATAAGCTTATGCATATATTCGTTAAATCGATTAAACATCTAATTCCTACCTTTTTGAAGATGTCTATCATTTTGTACCCAACTATTTGAGTGTATTCTTCTCTGAAGATGGTTATGGCAAATAATTTGATGTATTCATATTTCTTATATCCTTAGGGTGAAGCCTTTGATTGGTATTTGGGAATAGGCGATGGTGCATTCACCACAACTCCAGAACCTAGAGAATGGCCTGTTGATCCTGCTCCTCCTCCAGATAGAATACTGTCTGCTCTACTTGCTAACCAAGGATTTAACTCAGGTAGAATTATCAAAGGTGGAGCAACATTCTTACAAGTTGAAGGATCTGTCAATTTAATTTAAGAGAATGAAGAATGATATAATAAATCATAAATTATTATTATTATTTCATAATAAATTCATAATTACTCATCATTATCTTCTTTCATTAATTGTATTGCTTGAGTCTTAAGTGCATATATAATTTAATAGAAATAAATTTAAAATAAATAAACACATTTATTTAATTTTTGCATCTATTTATATCAAAAAATAGGTTTTCTTCATTCAAGCATTTAAAACTTATGATTCACAATTAACCGTACTTCAATTTCATTTTGATTTTAATGCGAATTAGAAAAAAAAAGTATTTCATTACTTCTTGAAAATTCTTATTCTTACTCATATTCTAAACTCAAACGATTGGTATCATCTTCAACTCAATTTAGTAGTGTATTTGTATACCGCTACTAAATTTGGACTAGAATTGCAAATTTTAACCATAATGTTACTCTAAACATACTTCGACTGAATTTGACAAAAAATACTCAAAATAGGAGTTTTTTTGACTGAACAATGCTTATTGTTTTAATTTACTCATAAAAATTATGTTCTTTACTAAATTTATGTTTGATAATTTCCTTTTCACAACGTATATTCTAATCCTTTTTTTTTGTTCCTTATTAATTTAAAATTAAATTCCTCTCTATTTCAAATTCTTGGGATTTTTGCATCCAATTATTTTTAGAAGGTATGTCTTAATCTCCATTTTTTAAATTGATTACTCATTTTTCTAGTCAAAAATAGTTTCTAAAATTAAATTAAAATCTACAAAATATAAATATAATGATGTGACAAGATCAGGAGATTGTAAAAAGTATTTGAAATTGTAAAATAAAAAATGAAATGATATTTTGAAACAATTTAAGAGTTATTCAAAAACAATAATAGATTGATTTTATTAACTTAATTGATATGAAAAACTCATTAAAATTCTTGTTAATAAATAAAAAGTAACTCACTCACATAATCAAGCATTGTTTGCATTCATGTTTCTCATCTTTTTAAATTTTCTTTTAACAATTCAAACAGTACAAACTCTCTCGACATACACTACTTTTGCAAAAACATTAGCTTTCAACTATTTAAATATGAATACTTTAAATTTTCTATAATTTAGCATTGTAAAGGATTTAAAGTTAAGCATCCTGGACATTTCTATTTGTTAGCTTTTAATTTGCCAATTCTGCAAGCATTGTAAGGATTATTATCAATAAAATGCGTATAGTGATCTTCTTTTTTCAATAATATAAAGCAGATTCCACAAAAGTAGATCTAACCTTTACAATATTATGATTGGCATCTTAAGAAATTGCAGCCTTCTTCTTTATACACTTATATTTTGCATCGAGGACATTTTCCTGTAATAATTTATTGGCAACATTTTGATTCATAAGGTTTTCGACAGTTCAGACAATAGACTTATTTACAATCAGGACATTTTGCATATTCTACATAAAAAATTGTTTACTTGCATTCTTGTTTATAATGAACTTATTATTGCAATCATAGTGTCCACAATCAACAATCATTTCATCTTCATTAAGATTCTCAATGCAATTATGTTTCAAAGAATATTCTATTAAATCATTATATATCTCTGTGTTTTTAAAAACTTCAACAGAAAATTTGCTTTTACATTTTGGACATCTATAATCATCAATTGTCAATTATAATGTTTTTAGTTTCTCTTATATCATGCTAACAAGACATTTCAAACAGTAAAAATGCTAACATTTAAGGCTAAAATCAGTTTCTTCAAAGCAAATTTAACATTGATATTAATTCATAGATTTTCTAATAACAAAATGAAAAAAATAATATTAATACAAGAGAGAGATTAAATTAGATTTACTTAAAATATTTATAAAATAAATGTCTATTTAAATTTGAAATATGCCTTTCATTCTATTCTTCATTCAATATATGAGTTATGTTTAAAAAATGATTGTAAAATCAATTTAAAATAAAACAAATCCTATTTTTATAATAGTTAAACTAATAGTATCCTAGATTAGTGAAGAGTAAAATTAATAGGATTAATAAATTGCTGAATCATGATGCAAATAATCTTCTCTACAATAACTAATCCTAAAATTTGGGTTTTATATGTTGTTTAAACACATGTAGAAAATTATCCACAAAAATATTTGTTCAGTTGAAGTGGCTTTTTCCTTTATTTTTTCTTAATTAGCATATTTATGAACTCATAGATTTTTTGAAGTGAATTAATATAATTGGTCATATAAACCTAGTTATATTAATAAATTAAAGTTTATAATTTTATAATCAAAATTTTTATAAATTTAAACCGAAATTAAGTAACTCTAAAAATAAAAAAAGGAATTAAACCATTAATTTAAGCCAATTTTTGATTATACAAAACATATATAATTTTTAAATCATCCTTCATTTTCCCACATAAAGTGATAAACTCTTTTAACGAATTTTTCACAAATTGGACAAACATGAGGCAATAATTACTCAAATTTCTCATGGCAAATCTTACATAATGCCGCATCTCCACAAGGAATGTAAACAACATTTATTTTTCTTATTTTACATGCCTTACATTTTATTTTCTCAGAAATATCAAATACAAATTCATTCCCAGTATAATATTCTGATTATGTCATCTACTAAGGAACGCTACTTTCTTATTTTTATAATTCTTCTAACTATCTTTCTAATTACAATTTAAAAGGTTGTAATCTACTGATTGTGCTCTTTAATTTTTATTTTTCCTCCCTCAAACTTTAAATTTCGTCTTTTATTTCTTATTGACTATTTTCATACTAACTAACCTACTGATTCAATGCATCAATAAATTCATTCAATTCTTTTTCCTTTTAATCATATAAAATTTTTATTTTTTCTTGATTTTTAATTTCTAATTCTTATTTATATGACTTTATTTTTGAATGATATGAATTTATTTAAGCATTTACCCTCTTAATCTACTATTCGATATCTGATTCTTTCAATATTAAACCTTTTTTCTTTTCAATTAAATCTTATAATTCTCTTTAATTTCTCTCTAATTAACTTTTATCTTCTTAGTTTTTTTATTTTTAAATCTCTAATTTAGCTTTTAGTTCTCCAATCAATCTTTATTATTAAATATCTATTTCTTCTTCAAAAATGTTTTAATTTTATTTTTAATTTTTATTCGTATCATTAGGTTCTGTTTTTTTTTGCTCAAGATATGGTTCTATTTGTTTTTTAATATTTTCATCTTTTCTAAAAGAAAATGCTATGTAATCTGAAAATATGGCTTTAAAATCCAAAAGATTAATATTTTTACCGAATATTTCATCAAAATCTTTTCCAATCTACAAAATGAAAATTGCTTTTTTTTCAGTTGTCAATAAAAAAGTAGATGTTAGAATATTTTCTTCTTCCATTTTCTTACAACTTACGAATTCCTAAATTTTAATTTAAACTTACTTCGTATTATTTATCTAAATAATCTTCGTATGAATTAAAATTCAATAAATTTACAGGAATATCATTAGGTATCTAATTTAAAAAAGTATATTTAATCTCAGGCTTATTTTTTTTTTTTCTTTTCTCTCTCTTTTACTCCTTCATCAATAATTTTTATACAATTTAGTTCTTCTCATCTTCTTTGTAAAACTAAAATTGCTTATTTGTATTGATACTTTAAATTTTCTAAAATATAAGTTATAAGGCATTCTCTTTACTAAAAATTCTATCAATTATTTATTTTAAGGTTAGACCATAAAAAAACAATTTTAAAATGTAAACTGTATGTTATTCTAATTTTAATCTATTATAAAATTAAAATATAAACCGGAAATATTTTTTTATATTTACAACTTCATCAATTCATCAACTTTTTTAAAATCTTTATTAAATTCGAAACCATCTTCTGGAATATATTCATTAGTTCCTTTTTTCTTTATTAAACCTTTCTTGATAGCATACTCATAATTTCTTTATTATTATTCACTATAAGCGACAGGCTTTTACTATTACTAAGGATTAATAGGTTTTCCAAGTGGTTATATTATTGAATATTTATTGGCTGTAGGATCAGTCTATTTTTTTAACCCTAATTTCCATTAACAAATTCTTTCATGTTTTTCTCTGTCTTCTGTTGTTAAAAAACAATGCCCTTAATAATACTTTATTAGATAGAGAAAATACTTAACAATAATAAACAAATCTTGGTTTATCTGGTAATTTAACTTCTTTACAAGTATGAAGATGAGACAATAATTTGTCAAGACTTTACAATTTATGATTTCTATTGGCTGGACATAAATATTATTCAGTCTTTAGTAAGGTTTCTTCTTAAATAGTAGGTTGATCTGATTCTTTGTCTATTTCTATTTGTTTCATTTTTAAGTAAAAATCACTTCAATATTTATTTAATTAAAAAATGAATTTTTATTATTCAATGTTTTAATATAATAAACTCTTAATCTGAAAATAAAATATAATATTATTATAACAATAAAGAAGAATTTGATGTATTATTTTATAAATAAATGAATTTGATATTGAAGACATACGATTTACATATAATTGAGAAATATAAATGTTATCTAAATGAGAATTAAATATTTAAATATTTAATATATAGAAAAATATCATAAATGATCAAAGAATATGATTATTTGTTCAAATTAGTCATAATTGGTAATTCTGGTGTTGGAAAGAGTTCTTTATTATTGAGATTTGCTGATGATTAATTTAGTGAGTCTTATTTAACAACAATCGGAGTAGATTTTAGATTCAGAACTCTGCCTATAGATAACAAGAATGTGAAATTGTAGATTTGGGATACTGCAGGATAAGAGAGATTCAGAACGATTACAAGTGCATATTACAAGGTTATAAATTAGTTATTATAATAAGGGAGCAGATGGGATCGTTATGGTATATGATGTCACCTAAGGATAATCTTTTGATGATATAGATAAATTTTGGTTACATGAAGTTGAATCATATGGAGAAAAGAATGTGTAATTGTTGGTGATAGGAAATAAAAATGATTTGGATGAACAGAAATAGTAAGTTTATTTAATATCTTTATATAAGAGTTGATAGTGCAAAAGCATAAGAGTATTGTAAATCACATAATATGTTATTTATGGAATGTAGTGCAAAGACAGCAGATCATGTAAATAATGCATTTCTTGAACTCTCGAGAAAATTGATGGCGAAAAAAGATGCATCTCAACCACAAAAAACTTAAAACACTACACCAAGTGGTTCTCAATCATCTTAGGCTAAATAAGGAGGGTATCATTTCTTTATTTAATTTTTATTAGATCATATAATACAAACACATCATAAACTAAACTTAGTGCTAATACATCAAACCAGAAGAAGCAGAAGGATGGAGGATGCTGTTGAATATTCTAATCAAAATATTAATATTTATTCATTTTCTAAGTTTCTTTTATTTTCTGATTTTCTATTTTTTAAAATTAATAAAAATATATTATAAATCAAATATTTTAATCAGAAATAGTAAACTATATTTCATATTACTTTATCAAAATAGATTCTTATTTCTAATTCCTGAACTCTTTATTGTTGTTCTATTTTTTAAATTAAAAATTAGATTGTTAATCTTTTAATTTTTATAGATAAGCTATTCATAAATATTATCTTAATCTTTTAACCTTTTAGTCAAATAAAAAATTAATAGCAAATATAACAGAATAAGTTTATTAAAATTGTCAAATTATTAGTGTACATTATTTATACTAATTATTAATTTCATTGAACAATTATATTCTTTAATTCCAATAATAAGCCTTTTTACTTTTTCAAAAAATCATCATCAACCTAAAAATAATAATATAAAAATATAATTTATTTCATAATGATTTATTTAGTTCTAATACTAAATAAGGGTAAACATTTAATTAATTAATAATTTATAAACAATTTAGGTTCAATATGTAATTCAAAATAGCTCGAATTAATTCAAGCTTTGGTTTCTTCCTCATTGACTTCTTCAATGGGTTGATTTGACATTTACCTTTAAAAAATAATCTATTTGTTAGGTCGAGCTCTAGGAGTTTGTGCTTTAGCTGAACTATGAGTTGAATTTTTAAGTACAATTGTTGGTCTCATTCTACCAGAATCAGGGGATGAAGCATCTGATGATAAATCATACTCTTAAGTTGAATATTTCTTAATTTATTTTGTTCTAGGAGTTGAGGGTTGATTATCAATGAGATTAATATTTTTCTATTTAATTTATTATTAAAATCTTGGACTTTTCATAACAGGAACATTTATGCAGACCTTTTCATCTTCAACTACTTCATCTTCTCTAACTTATTATCTAAGTTTAAGAGGAATCTCTGGTAATTGAATTTTATCTGATTTTAGATTTTTGAATAGTTAAGTCTACCATAACTTATTCGAAGGATCTAGTCGCTTTTTCTATTAAAAGTTAATTCTAATATCATTTTAAGGACTTTAAACAAAAAATAAGTGTTCCAAGGCTTTTGCTGCAGAAATTCTAAAACTGGGATTAGGATTAAGCATTGAAGAAATGAGTTCGACAGCTGAAGAGGGTGCTTTGAATATTTGTAGATAATCAAGATTAACATTGCATTTTTTGTTAAGCTTAAGAATTTCATGATAGTCTGTTCCTGGGAATAAATCTTTTGATGTAATTCTACGATAAATAAAAAAATGACTTACAATTTATAGAAGATGCAACCAACACTAAACATATCGCAGATCTTATCATATTTAAGAGTAAGATCTTTGAGATTAGCAATTTCCGGAGCAACATATCCAGGAGTCCCACATTTTGGAAATGGATATTTATCTACACTCATATTAGTGGCCAAACCAAAATCTACTATTCTTAAACCTTAAACTGATCCATGTTCTTTAAACATGATATTTTCTGGTTTGAGATCTCGATGCATTATATTAAGACTATGCATATGAGCTACACCTTTGAGTATTTACTATATAATTTAAACATTATATGATACCCACATTATTTGTTTAATTTACTCCCAAGTCAAAGGCTATGTGGTACTTCGACTATTACATAAGTCATGTAGACTTGGTCCTTTCAAATATTCAAGAATGAGATAAAAAGTGTTGTCTCCTTCATAAACTTCTTCAAGTTTTACGATTTACTCATGATCAAGGTTACCCATTATGCTAATCTCATTGAATAAGGCAATCTTGAAGTCATTAGAATAATACATACATATCCACCATCTTCTCTTAGATATCTTTTCTCAATACATTTAGATGCAAATTCTGCTGAATTGTCTTTGTCATGTACTAAATAGACCTAACTTTTAAGTGTATTGACATACTTTAGATGATCCTCCCTTTCCCAGTAGTTTCAATGGTTGATAGAAGTCACTTACTTCTCGATACATTATTTTGTTTTTGACTATTCTCTTGAAAATTTTTAGCTCTTATTCTGGGGCTGTAAAATATTTAACTGTTCCTTTGTATTCAATTCCGAATTATGTTAATACTCTTGAGTTGTTTTTAACCCAATGTATATTATTTTCTAAATTGATAGGCACCATGTATTTTGGAGTGGGTGATTCAATTTCCTATAATTAGATCAAAACCAATAGAATTACAGTTGATAATGTTATGGCATTCTTAAAGATGTACAGTTGATAGTAAATATCTCGAACTAGATGTTCTCTTTGACAAATTATATGGTAAACTACTTCACCATAGTTAATTTCTATATTTTACATGTTCTTTTTGAAAATTATTTAATTATATACTTTTAAGATTTAATGTAAACGCATTTCAAGACGTTCAGAATTGCACAATTAACATAATATATGACGGATTATTTTTATTTTTTAATTAGAATCTCTTACTAATTACATCATCAAGAAATAATCATATTTTTTAATGATAATTCTACATATTAACCAAATAATTCAATAATGTAATAATTCAAATTAAAATTAGCAATTTAATAAATAAATGAAATAAAATTTCCTCAATAAAATCAACTAAAATTTGAGTGAAACTTTATAAATTTTGAGATTAGTTAATAATTTCAATATTTTAATTTTTTAATAATTTCTAAATAAAAGGATATGTACATAATACTACTATTTATTTTTAAGATAATAACTTAGATAGTATAAATTTTTTATATTTTATAATTTTTTAAAAATGAACAAATTATTCATAATCCCTAAGTGGCTGGAGCATCATTAGGTTCTAGATCATACCCTTTTTGGTTATCAAAACCTTAAACAGCACTTGTCAAACCTTCTTCTTTGATTCTGAATCTTCTGTACAAATAAGCTAACAAGAATGCTAATAAAATCAAGAGAATTATGAGACCAATAATAACACCAATTAATTCTTAAGTATTATAAATTTTAGCTTAAGCCAATACAACTTTAACCTAGAAAGAATCTTTATATGAACATTGAATCGTTTGATATGGCACATTTGGATTTTCTTTTAAATATTCATCTTTTTCTGGACAAGAGGTAGCATTGAGTAAGATATCATATTTATAAATATTTCCAATATCTTATTCAGATCTAGGATTGCAATAGATAGAAGGTATTCTAATAAGAAATGGTAATTCCACAATAGTATGCTAAGTTAAACCTAATAAATATGGAAGATTTTTTTTAAATGTAAATTAATTGGTATATCCATCAGTTTAAAAATTACCATCAAAAAATTAGGCATTTTAAAGTTTAGGAATAAAGACATAATCCTCATAAAAGGAATTGGCTTTTTCTGTGTAATAATCATCTTGAACATAAAATTTAAATTCTGGTTCAAATACATCATAGACTCCAGTTCTGATAATTCTATGTTCATCTTTACCTCTAAGAAATACAAACCAATTAGAAATAATAATATCATAATATTAACCAGTCAAATAATGAGTCTTCACTTCAAACCAACCTTCATCTTTGAAACCAATTTCAACCAATTATTAATTGATTCCACTAACAATTAATTAATTATAAATACACTTCTTTGAGAATTAACAGAAAATCATCAGGTTATACTGCAATAGTTAATCCGGATTTAATATTCACTAAACCAAATTTATCATCTCTATTTAATACTATATATTTATCATTAGTTCTAACAAGAAACTTTGTAACTCCATGTATATTATCTAAAATAAAAGCATAGGTCTCATTTGATGATTCAGATTTACTAAATACAATGTCTACTAAACTTATTGGTACATTTTTGTTATATAAATCAAATGAATTCATTGATTAGTATAATTTTAAATCACCATCTTAATTAATTTGATAAATATCCATGCCTTCCATACCTAATGGAACAAACATAAAATTTTCATAAATTTTTATTGATCCTATAAAATTGTTATCATTTTCTAATCCACCAATAGTGCAATTTTTCAAAGTCATATTAGGTTCTACATAGCCTTTCAAAATTTGATCTCTATATACCAAAAATACATAATTAAACATAGAAGCATATAAAATTTAAGGAACTTCAGCTTCTGTTGCTCCACTTCTTAAGAAATCGTAATCATATTCTTATATAAGTTTTGTTTAAAATCCAACTCTACTAAATCGATCCTATGTAACATTATAATTCAATAGAGAATGATCACTTGTTACAATCAATATACTTTTATTTGTATTAACCATATTGACCAATATTGGTGTACTTAAATAATATGATGGATCATTTGCATGTTCTTCATCAGGATCATGTGTAGCATTATAAATTATAGTATGATGATTTTCATAATTTGCAAAATCTATTGAACCTTATTAAGAAAAACAAATATCCCATGGATAACTATTATTTCCTTTCAATTCTATATTGATTGCATATTCGGCATTTTCAAAGTTTGTTATTTATTAACGTGATCCCTGTATTACTTCCTTCACTCCTTCTATCTAACTTTCTATTAAGAATGTTTTAGTATTCAAATTTATTAATTCTTCCCCTATTACAGACGATACTATGATCAAAATAATTAAATTCATAATTTATATATTTATTTATTTAATTAATAACTTTCACTCTTCCAATATTATTGAATCATTTTAGAATCTTAAACCAAATATATAACACCAATCATCATATAATTTTGGTATCTCATATTCTTCTTTTGCTTTTGTTATCAAATTTTACAAAATTATTTATCCATTCTTTAATTACATACTTACCTTTTATCCTTTTTTAGAACTAAATTCTGGAACATCAAAATCTTACTAAACCTCAGTTAATCCAAAACCAAAATGAACTATTATTTATTTCATATATATATATACCTCCATCCTACCTAATAAAATAAGCACTTGGAATATCACATTGTAATTCAAAATTATGTTTTTTTATTTAACTAAGAGAAGCTATACCAAAAATTATGTCTGATCCATTAATTGTAAAAGTTACTTTATTAGAAGTAAAATATTTGTTTTTATATTCTAAAATTTTTATACATTAAATTAACCATCGACCATCTTTTTAATTAATTATTAATACTAGAAAGATTAGATCTTCTAAATTCATTTTTATTTATCTTTTCAATATTTATATGGTGATTTTCATCTTCTAAAATGACATTTTTCCAAGAAAAAAGTTCCTAACTTTTTAATTACGTTTCAAAAAACATTTAAATAGTACTATATATATTTTATAATTCTTTCTTTGTCTAACTTAAATCTTTCTTAATTCCACTATATTATATATCATTTTTTTATATAGTATACTTATTCTATATTGAATTCACAAACTTAAAGATATTAAATTCTTTTTCTATAAATTAGGAATATTCTTTTGAGATTGTAGTAATATCAATATGAAATGCTATATTTTCAAGAAGGAAATCTTCAAAATTCTTCAAAAAATTTAGAATATATTGTTTAAATTTCCCAAATTCTTCCAAAATCTCTTTATAATAAGTATCGCTATATTTTAAAATAGATAAAATTTCCATATTAATTTAAATAATTAATGTCTAAAACTTTTGTTTTAGGTAATAAAATTGTTTGCTCAAATGAAGCTCATAAAAATAGAATTTTTAAATTATTGATTTATGCTTAAATGATGATTGTAACTTGAAAAATCATTATGTCCTCAAAGTTTAAATGAACATGACAAAAATCATCAAATTATTGATTCATCTGATTTAACTTCTTAATTAGAAGAATATTATGCATTTGAGATATAATAAAGAGCTGAAAAATAAAGATTTTCTGTTAACAATAAAATATTTGTTTTAAGTTTATTCAAGAAAATAATAATAAATGTTAAGTGAGGCTAATTAAGTAAAAACAATTAAGTGAATAATAAATAAAAGCTGAATCTTAATAACATTTTGGAAATTAACTTTATTAATGAAGAGGAATTAGAATAATTGACAAAATATTTAAAGAACAAAGTAAATAATGATCTAGAATAATTAAGTATTCTTTTTAAATATTGAAGATTATTAAATAAAAACAATTCTTTATATGGTTATGAAAGATATATAAGGAAGTTATTATTTGAGGAATCTTTAATTAAGCATAGATCAAAATGATGAAGTAAATTAAAAAGTAGTGATACTAATTAAGAATCTAATTAATGAGGATTTTAATAACATTTCCAATATGATAAATATGAAAATATTCCTTTTTCAAAAGTTATAATAAAATAGAATTTAATTTAGTTTATTTAAAATCAATATATATCAAATGTTAAATCTGTAATATGAATAGGAACAATCAAATAATCAGATCCAAACCATCTCCTTTTCTGCTCAATAGATTATGCAAGAGAAGTATTGAAATATAGATCATAATGTAAATTAGTTAAAAAAAACAAAACAGTGGAGTTATTGGATTTTCTTCATCCTAAGAATTAACATTTATAATACTAGAAGGAGATCTTAGTTTCAAGTATGTAGGTTGATTATTACTCAAATTGCAGTGTGGGAAAGGAAATTATTTATAATCAAAATTATAGAAGGTAAATTTATTTTAAATAATGAATATTCTTTCTATATATATATTTATCATTAATCCTCATTTATTAATTCATACCATATTAACGATTTTTCATTTTAAGCTAATAAATTGGTAAAATCATTTGTGATGATTATATTATTTTCATCAATTTCTTATTAAAAAATTAATTCTAATCTTGCATCTTCAAAAACTTACCAAATCTTCAATTTATTACTTTGACTTTAAAACAATAAAGAACCATCATCATTTATTTACAAATTGCTCATTTCTTGATTAGTTAATTTATTTTCGGGATCCCATTCTGTAGAAATCAATTAAAATACTCCTTTTTTGTTTTTTTACCATGTTTATATTTGAGCCTTTGAATTAGATGTTATGATCATAGAATTTGTATTATTCCATATTGTTGTAGCAAAATTTTAATGGATTTATTAAAATATTATCCAATTCTAATTTTCCTTAATTAAAATAGTTAATTTAGAAATTGATTAACAAATTAATTTTTTTCCATTTTCTATAAATATTAAATAATGTACTCTTTCAGGTAACATATTGAAAGAACATTAGAATTCCCAATTTTTATCATTCAATCCCCAAAAATTAATTTTCTAATCAAAAGTACTTATGACAAAATCATTAACAATATTAAATACAATTGAATCTAAATTAGAATGGCAATTAATCTGTTTATAAGTTTTAGTTTACAATTAATAAATTTAAATTTTTGTATTACTTCCCCAAGCATAATATTCACCATTAGGACTTATACAAAATAATTCTGCTGGTATTATATTCTTTAAGGATTCAAATTATCCAAATAAACTATATTGACTAGGTTTAATTATTGTAATTTAATTGTTTAATTCTTAACCAGAATTTACAGCAATAATTTATTAATTCTTAATATCTTAATAGATTCTCTTTATACTTTATTTAGAATTTTTAATACTTATTTCATGTTATTTTAAAAACTACATACTTTTCAATTTAACAAGATCAACCTTTTTTTTTAAAACATTGTATTCATCTTTTACATTTTTTTGATCGTCAGAAGTTAAAGAATGAATACAATTCAAAGTAGTTTCACATCTCATTAATATTCTATAAAATTCTTAAGTTAATACAGCTGTAACTCCAATTTTAACATTAATGCAATCTAATTCTTATGCTTTTAATATTTCATAGGCTAATTGACTAATATTTTGATTTTCAATATTTTCTAAAATAATTTTAATTTTTTAATTAATTTGATTTTGTTATTCACAATTCTTTTCTAAATTTTGAATTACTCTATCACAATATAGTTCAATTGACTTATTAACATCTTCTTTAAAACTATTTATTTTCTATTTTTATTATTGTTTAAATTCATCTGAAATTGTTTATGATAATATTTGATTTAATAGTGTTACTATTTCAGCATTGCTTAATGGTTCATTATCCTAATTACATTCTTTTTATTCACAACAAATGTAACAATTTCCATTTCTATATTCAAATTATTCATATTTTAAACAATGACTCTTACAATAAGAATTTCTTCCTTTATCGTCCAATTATATGAATGAGAGAGGTTTTGATGATAAGCTTAATTTTTTTTTCATTAATTTTGAGATTCAAAACTTTTTTAGAATTTTCTAAATAGCTTGAAAGAGGTTAATTTAATTTGTAAAAAGCCTTTTTAAAAATTGTTCTGAATAGTAATTAATAAATATAATTGTAAAATATATTTGGTTATGTTTCTATTTGTATAATAATTTATTAACAAATGAATTTAATTACTCTAAATTTCAAAGTTTCCTAAATAGAAAAATAGTTTAGAGAATCAAAACATAAATTATTTTCAAATATCCTTATCTATTAAAGATGGATATTTGGTATGATTAATTTTGTTTAATTGGTAAGTTGTTTGATTTCTAAAAATTGGATGATTGCATCAATCAATATAGTAACTCTTGTTCTTATTTTGATATCAGTTAAGGTGAATCATAAATATCCATTTGTGTATTAGATTGCAATTATCTTATATATACTCTTATTAAATGCTTACATGGCTTTAGAATATTAATTAGACAGCACCGATTGGCAATATACTGAAGTGTTTTTCATATCATTTACTTTCATAAGGTATTGATCAATTACATAAAACAAGTCTATTAAACCTGATGAACTTTATTCAAAGAGCCATTCTTTTATTACTTACAATAACTTTCCATATGATATTTGGGATTCGACATTCAGATATGAATTTTGAAATGTATTTACGATATATATTATATGTCGTTTTATACGTTTAATTTATGTATCAGTTTGAAAGAATATTGAGAATATATTTTTTAGAATAATAGAAATGTCGTCAATTTTTAGATAAAATTGCAAAATTCAAAGATGTATAGAGTTATTCAATTAAATATGATGAAAGAAAATCATTAATTTTGATTGAAAAAAATAACAATTCAAGAATTCTTAAAGAAGATTAAGAAGAATTTCTTAAAATGATTAATAATATGCAATTACCTGCACTTAATTATAAATCAAGAGTTGCTTAAATTCTTTCAGTCGATAATATACTTTCCCCAAAAAAACAATCACTCAAGTAATTACTTGTAAATTATACTCAAGATATAAATTTAGAACATAATGATACTCCTTCGAAATTTAGATAAGAAATACATTTATATGGATTCTATTAATAATAAGTTTTTGCATTAAATATTTTTTAAAGTTTCGATGTTTAACCTATCACAATTCTTTTGGTAAAAGAAAGTAGATCAGAAACATAAGAAGAAGAGTTAAAATTAAGGATGAGAAACAATTCAAAACAACTTAATTTTATTCAATAAATTTTCGATAAATAAATCAAAAAATCTCTCATATACTTTAGATGGATTTACAATTTTGCAGATAAAAATTTAGATGGAAAACTTATTAATCAAACATTAAAATTGATTAATTATAGTTTAATTAAAGGATATAAAGATTTCCTTAATTTAGAAATATTTGCATACTAAAAAATGTTATCTCCAGGTATCAGATAATTTAATATTATCTCATTAATTGAAAATGTAGTTTCTTTTTATGATGGATATTTTAAACAAAAAACTTAATCCTTAAATTCTATACAATAATTTTAAATAATTAACAATTTAAGTAATAACAATATCATATCTGACTTTAAATATATAAAATAATTACTATTAAACCTTCTCCATTATACAAGTGAGAAATCATCGACAGTTACTGTAATTTTAGATGAAGTGTAAACAGATTTTTCATAAACTCCCATTATCAAAATAAAAATAATATTTCAAGCTCCAAATTTAACGGGAACTCAATTAAAAAACTTGCCTTATTTGAATCCCTAATCTTTAGATGAATTAAAACATAATAGTATAGCTCCTTTAGATTTGGATCTTGCAGTTTCTTTGATTTTGATACGAAGATTGGGTCCTTTTGATAAAATAAAAATAGTTTAATAAAAATAAAAATCTAATTATTTAGAATTTTTTATTTTTCAACAGATTTCAGAAGACTTTTTATTGATTCCAATAAAATCTTTAAAACCATCAGAGAAAATAAAAATTTAAGAATATTCATAGATAGCTAATTCTTTTACAACTTCAATTCAATTAGAATCTGCTAGAGAGAGCTTTCATTTTTTATGATTAAAGTATTTGAGTGCTTATTAATAATGATGAAATATCATTCGAAATAAAATAATTGTTACTTTTTTTATTCTAAATTTAAATTTTGGATGATAAAAAAGAAGAATTATTTATCGCTTATTGTTTTAAGTATAATTATAGCTGATATAAAGATTTAAAGCGAATATATAAAATTATCATCTAAAAATAATAAAATAATTATTTATTTAATTTCTTCATAAAAGCAAGACTAAAATTAAATATTTTAATTTATATTTTGCAATACTGATTTTAAAAATAATTTTTACTTTGATTCCTACTCAGTTCTATCCTATATTCATAATATATTCTAAATAGACTATTTATTCAGAAAGAATGACAAAACTGTCTATTTTTTTCTCTCAATCCTCTCTCATATAATCTGCTTTATAAATATAATTTGCAAAATATAAATTTGATGTATGATCTTTTGGAATTTAATTTTATGAAATGCTTTATGATAAGACTTTTTAGTAGGAGGAAAGTTAAATTTAATTAGGGCAATTAATATTAAATAAGCCATGAAAATTTACAATTAAACCTGTTAGAAGCTAAAAAGTTTAAGAATTAGTTGCTATGATTATGCTAATATTAGAATAGATTAAGTTGGTAACTTATTTTTTTTAAATCAAGATATTTAAATGAATGAAGATACTTTTAATAGAACATGAATGAAATATTGAAAGATGATCCTATGATTATCTCAATGAGTTTAAATAAAATTAATTTGCATTAATATAAAGTTTTTGGATATTTAAATACTAAAATTGAAGTATATAGAGAAGATAGTAAAAGAATTTAAATGGTTGAAAGTAAATGTTTGATGAAAAGAATGTATTCTTTTTATTTATTTAAATTATAGCCTTATTTAATTTTGAATTAATATTAAAGAGAAATGAAGAGGAGATAGTAATTTAAAAAGTTTTTACTCTTATTATTTACATGAAAGCAATGATGCTTTATTATAATTGATTTTCATATTAGCTATAAATTAATTTTTATATTTAGATAAAATTAATTTAATATAAAATTCTAATAAAAATGAATAATTTGATTAGAATTATGGAGTCGTTTTATTCTTATTAAAGTATTTACTTTATCTTATAAATTTTTAAAAAAAAAAAGATTGCCAAAGACTATTAACCACAATCAAAGTGACATTTATGTGATAAAAGATGTTTTTATATAAGACAGGGAAAAATGTCCTCAGTATGAATAATTATTTAAAAAATAGACTAATATAAAAGAATTCTATAGGAAATATAAATTTATTATTTCAAAAACTATAGATTTTTTAATGTATACATTCAATAATCCTGAAAAACGATTTTGATTTCAATTCATTTATGAGGAAATATAAAATGCATCAGAAGAACAACTAAAAATTAAAATCTGAGTTTCTTTTTTGTTTTGAAAACATTTATTTATCATTCTTATTAGCTAGTATAAATGTATATTTAAAATAATTATTGTCTATGGGATCAACTTAAAATTGCTTTAAACAATAAAATCTCAATTCAAATGAATTTTAGATTCCTGTTATAGTAAAATAATAACTTATTCAACATCATCCAACAAAATAAAATTATCTTATCGAACCCTTATATTATTTAGGTGAAAAATCAGAATCTTTAGAATAACTTGAATTTATTCTTTAGCAATCTAATGCAAACATAAGTCTTAATTAAACTGCAACATTTTGTAGTAATAGTAACTAAAGATGTTTTTAATTAGAAAAATAACCTAATTCTATAACTTTACTGCCCAGTCAGTAAGAATAACAATAAAAATAAAAAATTAACTAAAAAGATAATTAATAACAAATCCAATATCCAAACCTACTATTAAAATAGCATAAATAAAATAGTGAAAGGGAAGTAAAAATGATTTCTTAATCTTAAAAAAAAAAATCAATTAGCAGAAGTTTAAGTAATTTTAAACAATAAAAAATGGAACAGAAAGAATATTAAGTAAAGAGATAAATAGAATAAGATTGTAATACTATTAAAAGTATTTTAAAGAATAAATTATTTGTTGAAAATCAAAAATAAATTAAATATAAAAGAGGATAGAGTTTAATATAAAAATCAAATCTGGTAGAAATCTATGATAACCAATCACAAAATACAAGCAAAATTTAAAAGAAAAAAGTAAAATTTGATCCAAAAATCTTGCGATAAAAAAATGAACATTTTTTTTAATGATTTCTTTTTAAAGCTCATTAGATCTATTCATAATTTTATATAATTATCTTAAAATGTATTAAAAAGCATAAATAATTATGTTATAATGAAATAATTATTTATCATTAGTTTAATCTATTCTGCAATAATTATTAAACTACAGAGTCAAAATATGGAGATGCAATCAACGTTCCTAATTAATACAAAGGATTCATTAATATTTTTATTAATTATTCATGTGCTAATTAAAAAAATGTTTTCACTCTTTCTTCGTCTTGGTCAGTTAATAATAAGAATCGTATATTTGATGGAGTAACATATCCAAATACTCTATAATCTTACTTTTAATCTATTTCTTTTAGAAATCTTATTAATAATTATAGTATACAATTCTTTAGATGATTTGTATTTTTCATCGAATACATCTAATGATGCATGTAAAATGAATTATGCATTCAATACTTATTAATTACCTAGAGTAGTTTTTTTTAATGGAAATCTTTTCTCGTAAATAGGATGATCCTCTTAAGATAATATTAAGAACATTTTATCAGCTTTAAATTATATATATTAATTAATTATAATAGTTAATATTATAATCAAATATTAGATGCTTGTATTAGATATTTTGATTTTACTACAAAACTACACAAATACAATTCGATATTTAAATATAAAGAAAATTAAAAATAATAAAGAAATTTCATATGGTTTATATAAATATACTCTATAAAATTTAAGCAAGTAAGTTTAAGATTTATTTGAGATGAAACAAGTAAAAATTACTAATGATTGTTTAATAAATATTTAGATATATAAAAATAAGGTAAAGTACTTTAATGATATAAACATAAAATGAATATGTTGAAAGTATTAGATGTATAGGTGAATTTAATGATAATTAAATATATAAAAATTATGAATAATTTATCACTTTCTTTTTCAGACAAACTTGTAGAAACTAGATATTAAAACCATAAAAAGGAACTGTCATAGTAGCTATTAAAAATATAGCAAGGATTAGTAATATTAATACTTTTATATGTATTGATATCAAGTGCATTTAAATAAAACTGGGTTTCACTTTGCATTTGTGGAATAGGTTTGATACTATTGATAATTAGTGTAAAGCTAAACATTGATCGATAAGAGCAATGTTATCTTAATAACACAATTATAATCTTTATGACAATCTTTAATTATTATAAATCATTACAAAAAATACTAAGTGAAACATTTTAGTAAACAAGTTATATAGATGGATATATGTTGGCATTAGCAACAACATCATGTATTTTACATAATATAATAGAGTATTGAATTAAGCAACTTTTATGTAAAAATGTTTCATCCATATTTCAATCTACATTTTGTTACAAATCTTTGAGCCAAACTTAATATAGGAAGTATGGGAATAGATGATTCTATTTTTGGTTTATTTAACACTACATCTAATTTATTTATACAAAACAGAGCAAATATCTAGATAAGAATATATATAATTGATCAAACATCAAAATGCAGAGCAATAATTAGTTAATTAAAGTGGAATAACATTATATATAGTTAATTATAAAAGAGATAAAAATTAAATTCTACTAAGTACTTATAATAATGAAGACAATATTACAATTCAGTAGTAATCTTAATTTATCTCAGAAATAAGAAATATGAAAGTTTTCATAAAGGATTAAGAATCTCAAACATATTATAAATCTTAAGAAGAAATATAATAAGATGCTATGATGACTTTAGAAAAGTTTTTGTTCTATTTTCTTAGTAGTCCTGAGAAACTAAAAGATTATGTAAATAAATTCTAAATAAATTCTTTAATTAAATTGTAAGGAGTATAAA